CTCCATCCAATTTCTTATTCTGGGCCAGAAGAACATGGAAATCCCAGTGGATGTCCACTGGACCCAGATCCCTGTCTATATCAGGAGAAGCTGTGATCATTCCTACAAGACTTCATGAAATCAGGCCCATTACTATCTCCTTGGAGAGTATCCTTACCTGGTCACATAGAACGTGGGAAGTTGGCAGCAGAGAGGTACTGTTCAGTAGTGTAGCTCCCTGCAAATTGCCCACAGGATCTACGGAAATGCAATGTTTTGTGAGTTACCCCTGCTGTGGGTGGGACTCTTCAGTGGTATAGCTGTCAGTAAGTTGCTCAGGGGACTTCCTGGTAGTGTAGCAGCTTCTGAGTTACCCATGCACCTGTAAGAACCCTACTTGTTTCATTGGTTCATTAAACTGGACTTGGCTGGAATCCTTTCTTTGGTTTGTAAGTGCCTTTCCTATTTAGGGTGAACAGATCTATTTTGAAAATTCTTCCTAAGAAAAATTCAGGTGCCATACCCCCACCCCCAGACACACAGACACACAGAGACACAGACACAGATACACACACACTCTTCTCCCCACACTCACCAACTGGGAACCTTTTTATAGAGACAAATGACAATCCCACATGTCTAGTGCCTCCCTGCTCTGAGCATGTACCTCTTCTCCACTCCCACTGTGTTTCCTGATCTGGAACGGAAGTTCTATTTCTTGGAAGGCACACTGGGCAATGCTGATCCTTGACGTATAATGGCTGTGAGCCCATTGGGTTCCCCTCTGACAACTGAAGGAAGGATCTGCATTGTGAAAGAGAACTGAGAATGGCGACCCCAAGCTCCTGCAAAGTGTGTACAGGGTCCATTGACCCTGGAACCCTCATCTGAAGTCCTTCAAGTGGGAGAAGAACCCACCCAGAAGTGAGGCATCATGGATTAAACTCTGCCCTCTGCAACTGAGTGCCTTTGGGGAATCAGCTTTCCAACCTGAATTGTAAAGTCAGAGGTTTGTAGAAGCAGTTTTTGAGTATTCTCACCAATTAGATGATTGCACCCCAACCTGCATACTAGGAGAAATAGAGAAAATAGGATTCTATGACCAGCTTGTCTGGAATGCAAAATGAATGACGTATGAAACTGAGATGCTGCTACACAAATGGGTGCATAGCTGATTCTGAACTTCCATATTCCAGCAACTCCAGAAGACTGAGGCACCACACGAAACCTGAGTGAAACAAGTGTTTTCTGTCATTGCATGGTTTTAAAAACAACAGTCCAGAAACCCCCAACAGCTAGATTTTTAACTAAAGCCAAAAGGAATTTTAAAATTAATTCTTTTAACTAATTGTTCTTTGAGTTTTGCACTCTGTGTTGCCACTAATCTTGTTTCTTAAGTTTCTATAAAAAAGTCCAAACCAAGAATGTGTTTGAAACAAGTGATTTGAACAAATTTAATCTAAAAAATATAGAGACACTATATGGTAAAGTATTTTGCCAAACTCTGCATATGCATGTTAGTCTTTTCCTTCAATAGGAAACAAATTAATAGGAGGATATGATATGATGCATTGTTGACAATTGCTTTTTCATAATTCCTATTAATTGGGATCTGTAATTCAATAATCATTTAGAGACATGACTAAAAATCATTGTAAGTTGCATTCTGATTAAAGGAAACAAGAAAGTAAACCAGATGCTAGATTGAGAGCAAATTACCTCAGGATATGGCTCCATATTGAGCCCATCTGTTTTCAGTGTCCATTGCAGCCATCAGTTCTAGATACAAGTGACACACACTAGAAATTAAGGCCTTGGAAACAAGTAGATGCTATGGAATGGCTCCCACCAGCATACGTGCCATTAGCCTTCCCTGAGACTCTCAGCCTGGACCACAAAGTAAAATTGCTGTTTCACAAATTCCCAGTGTCCAGGTATACTTGGAACCAACCAAGTCAGACTCTGTGGATGTAGAATCTTGGTGTAGGTTCCCTAGAAGCTCCAATAGGCAACAGAACTTGATACAGTGAAGTAAAGCCCAGCTAGTGAATTTCCAAATAAACAGAATGTACTATTTTGGCTTAAAATTGGTAGTGTGACATCTATTTACAGTTTTCTACTCTTCTGTAGTGAAATGCCCATCTGCTACCCTTTAAAAAAGACAAATGCATAGGCTGATTAATCAGACCTTGTGGTAGACACCTTTGGAGTGGTATCTCAGCGCACAGGGGCTTCTACAGCCTTCCCTCATCCACAGAAGAGGTCCTGGTGGCCCTTGCCTCAAAATTGACCAGCTGTTATCCTGAGTTGCATTTCTGAATTGAACATGGAAACTAATATTTCTCCATGGTTGGTTATGGGAGGGTAGTGTCCTGGCCTAAGGACTTTGTAATTAAGAGTTATGAGGAGAGAGCTTCAGAGACAAAGATGAGTCAGAGAGGCAGAGATAACCTTCTAGGCTTCCAGGGTAAACTTGGTTGGTGTTTGTCTCCTTGACCTCCTCTCCATAAATTAACAGCATCCTTTCTCCTTTATGTAGATGTAACCATCTTGTTAAATAAGAAACAGAGCCCATGCAGAGATGAAAGCCCAAGAGGTCAGAGCTAAACACCTTACCCTTCACTGCTGCTGCTGTCTTCTTCAGCCAAGAGACCTCCTTCCTGTTTGTTTGTCCTTTTTATCGACTTTCTATTCTGCCTTCTCATTGGTTGTAAACCCAACCACATGACCTCCTCATCACTGCCTATCTGTACAGACCTCCAGGTCTTCTATGGTTGGTATTGAGATTAAAGGCGTGTGTCTCCATGCTGGCTGTATCCTTGAACACACAGAGATCTGCCTAGCTCTGCCTCCCAAGTGCTGGGATTAAAGGCGTGCACCACCACCACCCGGCTTCTGCTATGGCTTGCTATTAGCTCTGACCCCCAGGCAACTTTATTTATTAACATACAAATAAAATCACATTTCAGTACAAATAAAATATCACCATACCTTTAGGGACTCTTTACCCTCATTCCAAGGGCTCTGTGGAAATTGGATAAGGCAGGCTTATTAGTGACATTGTCTGATATCATCAGAGATCTGAGGAAAAAAAAACTCTTGGGGGTTCCAGGTTCTTATGTCCTTGAACAAGAAATGTAGAAGACACAGTTGTAACAGGAGAGAAGATTTGTTAGACAAAGATACACTTGCAGGGAGACAGCAGGCTGGAACAGTGTGCAGCAGGCAGGTTTTGGCCCATTTGTACTGCATGGGGTTTTTGGCTTCTTGGGCTCCCAGTGCAGATTATCTGGCCCAAGCTCTACATATGGACCTGTAAACTTCATGTGTTACATATCTCACTGGCATCTTAAATCTCCACTCAGGGGTGTGCGTTTTGGTATTATAATAAGTCAGAATACTTCATATACCCCGGAATGCCACTGTGCACAGTCAGGTGCCTGCTTGTTTTAATGGGTCTGGGCTACAAGTATGTTCCTAGGTTTCCTTTTGCCAGTTTGGTCTTCCCATATGTCAGCTGATAAGGCTTTTAGGACCTTACTTTGCCCTGTTCTCCTGCTTCATTGGTTTCTTGCTCCTTAAGCAGAAATCTGAGACAGGAAAAGGTACCACTGCCATTTTGGTGACCAACTGTCAAGAGGCATGGACAGTTGCTGCAGCTCCAGGGATCACTCTGCAGTTGCCATGACTCCCACCCAGATCTCCCACTTACTTGTTCAACCAGTCTTTGAATCTGAGCTGAAGGCTGTATATGCTTACAAAGAATGAATCCCAGTAGAGTTTACCATTGTTCTTGGGGGTTTCATCTTAAATTTGCCTGGAAACTTGGAAGCATCCTGTTTTGGGATACATGATACATTCTTGTATCCTTACCTTCCTCCCTAATAAGCAGCTTATGTTTTTGATGTAACTGTAAGTCTTAACTAACATAAACTTTTGAAGGACATGATCTATATCTGTGGATGGCCTCAAGACTATTTAAAGTAGGAATAAGGCTTTTTAAACCCCATTTCAGTCTTAAAGCTCTTAATCAGGATAACTCCAATTTACATGGTTCTGGTGGCTCATGCCATCAATCCCAGCATTCTAGAGACACTAATGGATGGATCTCTGACTTTGAGGCTAGCCTGATCTACATAGTGAGAGTTATAAGCCAGCCAGAGGACTACATAGTGAGACCCTGTCTCAAAAAATAAAACAAAACAACTCCCCCACAAACAACTCTAAATCTTTTATAATTTTTGCACGCTCTATGAAGCCTTGTTTTATTCATTTTCATTTTGTAAACATGAAGATATTTGAGAGACATTCATAACAAAGGTATAATTTGAGAAAAAGGATTAAAAGCTTATCAAGCACAAACATGGTTTTAAATAATGTATGATCCTTTGGACAGGAGCCCAATCTGCTTGTGGAAAAAAGTTCTTATTTCCTCCATCAAGCAACATTAAATGAAATCAGAGCACTGCTGTTAAATCCAACCACACACCAATAACTTTTGATTTCTAACAGTACCTTTCCTTATTAAAAACCTCTACGAAAAACAAAACACAACTGTTAATAAGATATTCCCCAGCTCAGTCTTAACGTACTTGGCATGATTCAAGGCCATCTATGTGAATGTAGGATATGTATACTTCTTGCTTTGGGATACAAGCAGTGCTGCTCTGATGTAGCCTTAAAGACAAAAGAAAGCCACCCAGGTCTCTCTAGTCACACATCAGAGAAGTGAGGTATGAAAGGGTGTTCAGATGGCAACTGCTTGTGAAATTTGGATCCATAGAGCTCAAGTATCAGAATTCAAAAACAAGTGGTAAAAGAGGATAAAAGCAAGCACATTGCTGAGCAGTCTAATATTAACATTGCTGTGAGCTCTGCAAATGCTCCAGGTGCTAGACTGCAAAGACATAGTGGGTCCCACACCCACAAAACCCGATCCCCAAATCTGACTAGCTCATGTTTCCTAAGACTCTAAAGGAACAAGAGGTTGCCTAAGAATAATCTGGTAAAGACAACAGGGCGAAAAAAGGAAGTGGCCTTTTGACCACTACACTTTATTTTTAATACAAAAAACTATAAAAAAGGTTTCAGACATCTTTTAAACAAGAATATACTTTCTGTAAGTGTATCAAGCCATCATTTATTACAGATTAACACTGGAAAAATTTGAACAAGTAATTCTTAATTTGTTTATATAACATAATGAGACTTAAGAGGATGGGAATGAACAACTAAGAGCAAATTCAAAACCTGAAATCTGGTGTCTGTATTAATTCCTTCACAAGTTTCAAGTCACACATAGCTACAAAGAGAATGCAGGCATTCTTAACATTGAACATTATCTACAAAGAACTTCTTTCCAATCCTTTGGACTCCTTGGGCCCACCTACACAGGTCCCGGTGCCCACTGTGGACATCATGCAGCTGGCATGTTCCATCTGCTGTGGCTGCTTTTTGCCCCGGGGGTGGGAGCTACACCAGCTCATAGTATTTCCCAGTCTGAGGGTCAAAGTAGCAGTTGAGACATGGGTCATACAACAGAGTTAGCACTTCCTCATCTTCTTCTGCGCTCAGGTCCTCTTCACCTGTGAGCCAGGAGAACCACAAACACATTAGCTATGGGCCTGGCACAGAATTCCTAAAGTGCCACCCAAGAAGGCAGTCACGGCAGTGATCACCACCTCTCAAGAAAATTTATTCAGACAAGGGTTAGGTTGGGAAGGAGGAACATGGTAGAACTTGGATTCACAAGAGCAGTATACATTTGAGAAGAAATGCCAGGGACTCAAAGGGCCAGCTCCACAATGAAGGACAAAAAGCAAATAGGGGGCTGGAGGGATGACTTGGGGGTTAAGAACATTGGCTGCTTCTCCAGAGGAACCAGGTTTGATTCCCAGCACCTATGTGACAACTTGAACTTTCAGTAGTAACTCTAGTCCCAGAGCATCTAACACCCACTTCTGGCCTCTTTGGGCACTGTACACATGGTACACAGACATACATGCAGGTAAAATACTCTTATATATAAAACAAACAAACAAACAATAACAACAAACAAAAAACACCAAGCAAAACCAATGGTATAGAGAAGAGCCTGAAGGAAAATGAATAAAGTGGCAGAGTCAAAGGACCAAGAGTCACAGGCCATAGGATCAGGAAATACTGGATGATATGCAAAACTCAATTACCACAGTTCTAAAGTCCTACATGTGCCAGAGCTCTGTCTAATGCAGAGCAGTGTGAGTCCAGGTCAGAATAGAGTCTTTATTCATTTTGTTCCCAAAAGGCTACCAGACAACTATGCATTTAATAATGATGCCATTTACAAAGCTAGGATCCATAACACAGAAAACATATGAGGTGGGCTGTCATTTTCTTTGTGGTAGGAAGGTATAAGCTTGATGGGGATATAGACGATGGCTTGATGGAGGGAACATGCATTGCCCAAAACACTAGCAGAGTTTCCAATAAGTAGTATGCAAGTAAAAATGTTTCATGAGAATACTTTCTGAGCTCCTTTGTGTGCCCAGTAGTATTTGGAAGAGTGTCCTGTTTCCTCAGAAAGTCTGTCTTCACTTCTGAGCGAGAAGGATGAGGTCAGGCTCAGAGAAAGGGAGCTGGTTAGGACATTTTTCTCTTTATTAGCCTAGCCCACTAAAGATCAAAGACAAGTGGGCTGTGAGCTCATCAATGTTGACTTTCAAAGGGCTTTGGCAGTGAGCATGAGAAAAAGATCTGCAAGTGACAGAGGTTCAGTGAAAACTGTGCATGGTTCATGGATGTGTACATCAAAGATCAATGTCTGGTGTCATGCTTAACTGCTCTCCATTTTTTTTTTTTGAGACAATATCCTTCACAGAACCTGAAGCTCACTGATTTGGCTGGACTGATTGGCCAATGAGCTCCATGGATCCACCCATCTCTACCTCCCAGTGCTGGGATTAGAGGTGTCCACTCCCATTCTCGATTTTTATGTATGTGTTGCCATTTGAACTCAGGTCCTCATGCTTGTTTGGGAGGCACTTTACTGACTGAGCCATTTTCCCAGTCCCCAAAACTGTTTCTTGAGGCATAAATAAAAGCTCATCACCTTTCTGGAGTGGGTACAGAATTATAATCTCACAATCAGGGGTTGGAAGGCCATGCAGTACCCTGACTTAAAAGTAAAGTAAAATAAAATAAAACACACAAAGCCCATGATCCTAAATGTTACAGCTCAGTACAGTCAGGTGGTGGTGGAGGCTTGCATGGTACCCAGCTACATCAGAACAAGCTGTCACAGTTACCATCAGGGCATTAGCAAACTGGAGTTAGGTTCGTGGGTATATGTCCACATGATGAGCAAGCCTTTGAAGCCACTTCATAGCCCATCCTTCTTGTTTCCATCCAGACCATTTACCATAACCCTTCCTAGAGCCAGACCCTGAGCCCTGAGTGCCAGGTACACAAAGACTATAGGAACAGGTTTGTTCTTAGGGAATATTGTAAATATGCGATGGCTTGGTTCTTATGAGTTGAATTCTACACCATCAGTCCTTAAAATTGGAGCTAAGAGGAATGGATGTATGTGCCCTGCTGGTTAGTATTTCATTGAATGAGCCCCTAATGGTCTGGAAAGCACTTTCTCTAGTTACTCTGTAAACAATCATGGCAGGATAGAATAGGCAGGTGTCCATTATGGTTTCCATCTTGCAGAGGAAGCCAAGGCCTGCAAAAGGAAACAGCTTGCTGGAGGTTGCCTGGTTGTGATTCAGAGGCAGAGCTTGGGACAGAGTCAAGTTATGAGGCTTAAGCTCAGTGTCCCTTCTCATATACTCTTGTAAAAATTAATCAATATGCTATTAATCTAATTGCTCCTGTGGCCTGTGTTCCTACTTATTAAGCAAACCAAAGCCCCAGCTCAATGTATAAACAGACAAATAGGACTTGAGCCCTGCTACTGAGAAACTGCCTAGCCATCCTTGAATTGCCTTCCACTTCAGTCAACCACAGTTATCTTGGTCTAGTTTTCAAGGGCATATGTCAAAGTTTCCTTTCCCTTGCTCTAACTTGAGCTCCCTGGGCTGCAGATTGGTGGTGACCAGTACCTGAATTCTCTCTGCCCAAATAAACTCTTTAAAATCTCAATGTGCCCAAATTTAGCTTTTAACACCATGTTTGATGTTTTTGTGAAGGGTGTGGAATCACACATTTAATTGGGAATTTAAACATGAGATAGATTAGAAAAATGTAAAGGTGACCTACATTTTCAAATATTAAATTTATAAGCAGAAGAAATTTGACTTCTCATATTTCAGAACCTGCTGGTGAATATGACAGAGTCTGTTGTGAGACCAGGGATAATGAGTTCAATAGGCTCAAAGGAAAAGAGCAAGCTTGGTTACAGGGGCATTAGCCCTTCCTGCTTTAAAGATGAGAGGTGGTATAGGTGTTAGGATTTAGAGTATTTAGTGGGGTTCTAGGAGGAGGCAAGAAGGCTTTAGGCTTTTATTTTGGCTAAGAACAAGGAAGAATTCTCTTAGCATTAGAACTGACCAGTAAATGCAAATGTGTTCTAGGGAGGGCAAAGGCTAGGGCAATACTTGTATAGGATTTTGCAGATGAATCTACATAGCATAAAGGACCACATCCAGTGACTCCTCTGATGAGCTTCTGTAACCTTGGACTACTAGGGTTTATATCCTGAAGAGTCACAGGACTTTGCTATCAACCACATTGAATTAATAGTGGTAGCCAACCTTGGTACTTGGCACAATTTTTAATGAACAGGAGATCTGAGAATGAAAGTTGCCTTCCCTTTATTTCTTTTGTTCCCTTAAGGATGGCCTCTGAGGCTCTGCTTCTATTCTGTTTCCTTCTTGTGGGGAGGCTGAAAGTTGCTTTCTAACAGATGGGACTTACCCATACAAAGAAAGCAGCCACAGATGTTAACAAGGAGTTAACTGGGTGTTGCTTCTCTATAAGGGCTAAAAATATCCACGGTTTCCAAAATCCAGCATCCCTGGGGAGGGGGATGGCTGCCTGAATGGTGGCTAGCTGCAAGTTCATTTGCCTCTTTGGACCAGGACAATCTTTTAAAATTCCTGCTTCACAGAAGAGTCTGTCAGATATTCTGCAGAACACAGAGAAAAGTGACTGATGAACTTTGCCAACACAAGGCAGAATAGTCCTTCACATTTCCTGCTTCACTGAGAAGTCTGCCTGATATTCTAGCCTGTAGGCTGAAGATCAATGCCCCAAGGCTGCAGGAGGGACTTTGGGTGACTGTCCAGGCAGTGAGATGTCTCTGTCATTGATAGAGTTTTGGAAGTTGTTTGCAATGCACCTTTTGTTTACTCCAATAATATTATCCTTCTGAGGTCTTTGATAGAATTGAAGACTAGATAGTTATAGCTGCAGTTTTACTTAGTTATGATAGAGAGTAAATTAGGTATAAAACTTTAGATTCATTACGATAGGATAGATAATGGAGTATTTTTTTTTCTTTTAATTTGTCAGGCACAAATGAACTCGAATTTGTAGCCAGAAGTTTCTCCAGTCTCACCTAGTCCCACAGTCCCTCAGCTGTTTATAAAATAATCATTCAGAGGATTATGTTAATTACCAATTGTATGGCCTATGGCAGGCTTCCTGCTAGCTAGCTCTTATAACTTAACCCATTTTCATTAATCTATAATCTATAAATTTGCCTTGTGGCTGTGGCATTGACAGTCTGCTGGTATCCAGCTGCTCCTTAGGCAGCAGCTAGCGTCTCTTTCTCCTCTCCTTTCTTCTCTCCATATGTCTGCTTGAATTTCCTGCCTGCCTCCAAGCTGCCTTGCCATAGGCCAATGCAGCTTTATTTATCAACCAACCAGAGTAATACATATTCACAGCATACAGAAAGACATCCCACAGCAGGAATTCATTACATTGTAAATGTAATCTTTACTTGATAATTGTTCTTATTGTGTACAGTCCTATTATATTAAAGTTAAAAACTTTCTTTTTTTTGTTTAGAAAAAAAAGGGGAAATGTTGTAGAATATTGTTTATGCTCTGGAGCATTTGTTTACTGCATTGACATGTTTGATTTAATAAAATTTACCTGTGGTTAGGAGGCTGAGTCAGCAACTAGCTGACGGGAAGTGGTTGGGAGGAGTCAGGTGGAGAAGGGTCTTAAGGAGGGGCGAGGACTTTTTGAAGGACATGAGGGAGGTGAGGAGGTGAGCTATTTGTTATTCAGCCTCTCTGAAGAGCAGAATTCCACCTTAACCTTTGAGCCTTGAGTTATTTAGAGGGACAGAGATTTAGATAAGTTCCCTTCATAGCTTTGAAGGAGTCAGTGCCTGAGGGAACAGATTTCCCTCGGGTTATAGCCCTTGAGGCCTAACCGTTGCTGGTAGGGTTGGAGTTGCAGTTGCTGATTCGGACAGCTGTGGCTTCAAAGGCAGCAACAGTTAAGTAAAAGGACATCACTGGGGATAGAGTAAGCTTATACTCAGCATACAATGAGTTCTCAGCAAATGCTATAAACATTGTACTGGCTAGTTTTATCCAACTTGACATAAGCTAGAGTAACTTGGGAAGAGGGAACCTCAACTGAGAAAATGCCCCCATCAGATTGGCCTGTGGGCAAGCCTGTGGTTATTTTTCTGATCGATGACTGATGTGAAAGGGCCAAGATCACTGTGGGTGGTGCCGCCCCTGGCCTGGTGGTCCTGGGCTGGGTGCTATAACAAAGCAGGCTGAGCAAGCCACAGGGAGGAAGCCAGTAAGCAGCTCTCCTCCTGCCTCTAGGTTCCTGCTCTGACTTTCCTCAGCGATGGACCCAGTGTAGGCTGAAACATACCCCTTCCTCCTCTTTTGCTTTTGGTCATGGTCTTTATCACAGCAACAGAAACCTAACTAAGACACTCATTATTGTGGGGAACACAGGCTATTTGAGTTGGACATGCAAGGAGTATATTCCTTATAGCTTACTTGGTCCCCTAAATTGTATCTGCTTGATTTTTACTACTGAGAGAGAAAAACAGTACACTGGTTTTGAATGCAATCAAAAGTTCTCAACTAGCTTATACAGGACACTAAGACACATACGTCTTTAATTAAAAATCCCATTTGCTTCACAGAGGAAAATAAATTTTTCTATCAAATATATTATGAAAGTCCTAAGTCACAAGGCTAATGATAAATCATGAGTGCTTGTGGATCTGCCGTTAAATTTTTGGTCTTTACTAATGCATTATTAGACCAACCTTGAGTGCAAGAGAACAGTGGCCTGTGTAGTTGTTCAGTGTATTCTGTGCTTGTATTAAAAACAGTAACAATGTAAGCTAGTGCTGTTATGCTGGAAAACTCAATACATTTTACCACCAGCTGGGGATTTTTCAAGATGAAATAACCCCTGTGGTGGGCTCTGGGTCTTCATTACCCCACTGCAAAGGGATCAAGGTGGGTCTGATTCATTAACAGAGCTCTTCCTATACAATGCAGATAAACCGATGCATTCATTGTGACATGTACACCACAGAATAAGAGATCCATGCATTAGAACCATGGGCCTAATATAACCTTGTGGGTTTTAGTATGAAAGCTGTAAATGGATGAATCTGAAAACTACCAACAACGGTATCTGTACAAAAATTGGGTGAGCTTATGTATAATTTTACATTGAAATAAGTACTTTAAACTTACATAAAAGGTTTTGTTTTCATTGTAATTTAATTTCTGAGGCCTCCAACTTAATCATTTTGCCATAGGAATCTCTGCATAATGAAATTACAATATCATTAAGCAATTGCCACTATGATCTCAAGTGTTGGGGAATGTTTTGAAAGGTAATTATCCTGCATGGGTATGAGGTAATTTTCAATTATATTCTCAGATACTGCAGACTTTTATTTTTTTCCCTTAAAATGCTAAATTGCTCTATTTAAAGATTGGATATAGAAACTCCAAAAGGACAAATTAACAAATAAACCCATTTTCTGCTACCAGGCTCAGAGCATCTGGACAGGCATCCAAATTACATTTTTACTCTTCTCCCTATAACAAAGCCATTCCTACTAAAATAAAATTACCTTTTAGATACTAATCTATTTATAAACTTTCAGCCTCATCTACTTTGAAATTGGTTAGCAGCAATAACAGAAGAAAACCCAGCAGAGTCAGACTGAACGCAATAGTATTGGCTGCCCTCCTCAGTCAGATCAGCTCGGGCAAATAACCCCTCGAGTTCACCTTTGAAAGCCAATTAATACAACTGCTTAATTATCTATATTTAATGCATTTTAACTGTGGATAATAGAAAACCTGTATGTGCAAGCTAAGGCTTAATGCCTGAAAATAAATGAAGGTCACCACTTTATCAGATTTAAAATCTTGGAATCAAGACACTCTACTTGATTTTTGATTTTCTGATGCTGCCTCTAGAATTAAAAAAAAATGCATTTTCTCACCTATAGATCCTAAGGAATGACTGACTGTATTTTTATGTGCATACTAATATACTACTGTTTAAGTGATTCACCAGTGAGGCCGTCACTGTGTGGAGTAGTATGTCTAAGAATCAATAAAGATGACATTTGAGATAAGATTCTGCTGAGTACCAGTTGCCTGGAGAGTCTTTTTCCAGCATCCTTCCGAGAGGGAGAAATTCAAGCACACTGGCATGATGGAGGTGAACCACTCATCTCTGGTCTTCAGCAAACTGGTGCCTTCAAAGTGGAGGAAGATAGAAGAGCAAGGCTGGAGTGGAAATGATGAAAAGGTTCTTCTACTAGAAAGCTATATTTCTTTTGAAGGCAAATCACATGCCATGATTACAAGTCCGGTGCCTCTGGGAATCAAATTCCTCCATGTTGATGAGTGAGATTGTTTTATTTGGGAGATGCCATATAACAGTCACACTGAGGGACATGGATGCTTAATTAGGGGTTATTGCAACTTTATTCCTTCCAGGTTGTCTCTATTATAATTCCAAACGTGATATGTCACATATGAGGGAGGCCCCTAGCCATACCATTGTAGCCTACAGAGTCCACAGCTTCACATGAGCATGACTTCCGGCCAGGTCTGAACACTATGCATTCTCTTCCCAGCAAGGGAAGCTGGATTTCCATGCTGGGACATAATCCTTTCTGGAGTACATGTGGTACCCCATAAGTAGGGATGGTTCTAGAAGAGGACTAGAGAACTTTGGATTTAGCAATGTGTTTATGTTTCTATTAGAGAGCTGACTTGTATTCCTGAAAGGGAGGGTGCCTCTTTACAGTAGTGAGCATGTTGCTGGGCCAGAACCTCTGAGACCTATAGAGGAGACAACCCTGTCCCCTGACAGTGATTAAAGGGAAAATATCTCTCTACCTCAAGCTTAAGTTGGGGACAAATAGTAATTGGTTGCCTCATAGAAATGACAGGGACCCTGTCATCTAGAATGTGATAGAAAAACTATGAATCACTTTATAAGCTGGGAGTTGAGTTGGGGGTCTAAATAGAGTACTAAGAGGGCTACTGAGAACTGGAAGGACATCTCAGCTGGTAAAATAGTTGCCTGGTAAGCAAGAAGACCCAAGTTTCATCCCTAGAACCTGTCATCTCAGTGTTTGGGATGGGAAGACAGGCAGACCCTGGGACCTGCTGGCCAGGCTAGACTATGTGGTCAGATGAAGAACATGTCTCAGTAAACAAGGTAGATGACTCCTGAGGTATAATACCCAAGGATGACCTCTAACCCCACTCCCCACAACCATGAAGAGAACTATTAAATCCAGAAAGCTTCACAGGAAGGAGCATATGAGATTAAAAGCTATCCGAGTGGATTTGTCACTTGTGTGGCTCTTTCTAAACTCAACAGGTGTTCTGTGGTAGTACCACAGTGTGGGTTAAGCTGCAGATGGCCAGGCCCGTGGTACTGGGCTTCTTCACACTTGGGCGTGGGAGATAGGCTACTCTCCTAACCACACTGTCACACAGGACATAATGTCCTGATGGACAGTGTTGGGGTAACAGAAAATTTTCACATCATTCAGGGAAAACAGCAGTGCCTCATTAAGCTTTTGTTATTTTTACATCCCCTTATTTGTTGAGGGGGACAGCTCACTGATTCCTTTATTTCCCAGTTTTTTCAAAGAGTGTTGCCACTGAAAAGTCAACTACATTCCACATGTCTAAGAATATTTGGGCAGCACAAACAGACCTTGGTGGGAAAAAAAAGGCACAAAGTTGGATGGGAAGGGAGACAGGGAGGTGGATTTTGGAGGAGTTGTGGGAGGGAGGGTGAATATGAAAACTTACTGCATAAAATTCTCAAATAACTTATAAAAAACAAAGAGTATTACTGCCCCCCAAGACAGATTACATTTGTGATTCTGGAACTGAAAATAAAGTCATTTAAGGTTTAAGAACAAAGACGACGGGGTTTTGTTAAATGGCTTGGGCTCGCTGCTGTGATTACAGGTGTACCACTAGTCACCGCATCTGTAACCTGCTTTGCATTGTATATAAATCTGAAGAAAATCCACAGGCTAGCTCAAATTTCTCTGTGTCTCTCATGGACCAAAAACTCATCTACTTAGAAGAACTTTCTGGGGTGTTTACTATGTCCTGGATATTGCTGTAGGCACCAGGTACCAAAGATGCTCAGTGAAGCAGAACTCTTAGACCCAGGCTGTTAAATGTGAAGTCATTATGTAGCTGTAAACAGAAGAACTATGAAAGGACACTTCTGTTAATGGAGAGCAGGCAGCCAGATACCCTCTCTGTCTGGCTGCCTGTAAGGAGTGGTGAGAATTCTATGGATTCTTTACTAGTAATTTGGACATTGCATAAAAAGCATTTGCTACCTATTTGTATCTTGTGGGAGACTGATGTCTGCCTGTGTGACACTGTTATAAAGAACATGCAAGAGTATTATTTTTATGAAACTCTGACTATGTCAAAAACCCCTTGGAAGGCCTTTCTTCCTCCTAATTTTTGTGAGTTGCAGAGAGGTCTACAGGCTGAAGAAAGAACTGATTATTATTCCCTGTTGGAGCTGGTAGGCATGAATAATTTAAGGGTCATATCTGTAAAGGAACAAATGTCAAAAACAAATTGACAACCATTCTTCCAGCAAAGTATGGTTCATTTTCAAAAGGTCAGCTCAGTAGTTTTTTTGAGTAAGTTCTGAAACCTTCACTTCCCATTTTATGTTTCACACAGGCTCTGAGAGAACACTTTTTTAGTAAGTGTTAAGGGTACTGTGCTTGTGGTAACTGACACTCCACAAGTGTATTATAGCCTGGGAGGAACCACGAGGAGGCAGACATTCTCCTTCAGTCTGTGGCAGGGATCAGAACTCTGTGAGCACAACACTGTTTTTGCCAGGTGTAAGGCTCACTTAAGGTGGTGTTTATGTACTGGAGATGTTCAGGCTGGGCAGAAACTGGCGGGGACAGACTCCTACTGAGTAAGGCAGGGACAGGACCTTGGGTTCCAGGGCCACATGTAACTGTGTATTTCCTTCTGTATTGCTTGGGTAAGTTTTCTAAAATTACACATTTGTCAGGTCATCATGCTGTTGACCTCCAGCTGCTCCAGGTACACTGGCTCCTCCTCTGGGGACAGTGAGGTGGCTCAGGACACTGCTGCACAGCCCAGAGGGCTATGGGATGGGGGATAGCAGCGCCCATACTTTAGAGGCTATCCATGAAGGCCCAGAGTCAAGATGGATGATCCCTTTTCTCTGTGGTTCCAACTTTAAAAAAGCAAGCAACCAAAAACCAAAACACACACTCATAAACTTACAGCAGGAAGATGCTGAGGTGGAGGAAGCCCCATCTTAGCATGGGCTGTGACTGAAAATCTGATGTTCGGTAAGTCATTTACCTGTTAAGGCAAACAATGGGCTGAACCAAAATAGTTTATGGATTCATCAGAGTCCCAGGTAGGACTCTGAGACAATCGCTCTCCCCTGACTCTTTTCTATACTGGGGTTCTATGTGAGATTTCTTTTGAAGTGAGTTTTCACTGCTTACAAATAAAGTGTAAAGGCTACTGCTTCATGCTTGAATTTCAAAAGTCTTCCAAATATATGAAGCCCAGGGATGAGGAAGGAGACCCAGGCTTACATTTCTGTGAAATGCTCTACTGAGAATCTGGAGAACCCAATACATCCCAGAAAGTGCACAGCGACCTGGGTCCTCAGGTAAGCCAACTGGCAGTCTCTGCTTATACACACTGAGGCTATTTGGGGGGAAGAATAAGAAGAAATGAGTAAACAAATCAATATTTGATAGAGGGGGAGGGACAGAGGGGGAGGAGAAGGGGGAGAGGGACAGGGAGAGAGGGAGAGGGAGAGAGGAAGAGGGTGAAGGTGAGGGGGAGGAGAGAATGAGAGGGAAAGGGGGAGGGGAGGGATAGGGGGGAGGGGGAAGGAGGAGGAGGAGAGGGGGAAGAGGAAGGAGAGGGGAGAGAGGGAGGGGGGAGGAGAGAGGGGAGAGGGGGAGGGGGAGAGAAGGGGAGGAGGGGGAGGGGAGAGGGGGAGGGTGGAGGAGGGAGGGTGGAGAGAGAGGAGGAGGGAGAGGGGAGGGGGAGGAGGAGGGTGGAGGGAGAGAGGGAGGGGGAGAGGGAGTGGGGGAGAATGAGCACAGTGAATGGAGCACTCACCATCTCCATAAGATTCTGCACAGGCCATAAAGTGGCAGGTTACATGCAGAGACCCAGCTATAAAGGTCTGTGGCCTGTGGGCCCAGCCTTGTCCGGGATCTCATCAACTGTGGTTAGCCATTTTGAACAAGAAGGGGTGGGAGAGTGGGCAGGTCCAAGGCTGACACAGTGGCCAGAAGCCTCATTCTCTTTGTTTTCTCTCAGTGTCACTGAAATCATAGTGATTAGCCTTGGAGATATTTCATTTTTTTTTCTGGTAGACCAAGAACTCTCAATAGAAAAAAATCGTTTTCTTGATATCTGCTCCATGATGGTGGTATGAGTGCTAAATGCATTGTCTCAGCCTACGAATGGCAACAGAAATGCAGAATGAATTTCAGAGGACTGCAATCATGCCTCCCTCTTCTGATGATATGAACTGGAAGCCTGAACATTATTTTTCTTTGGCAAATATTTTATAGGATTGGATGGAAACCCTATCTCAGTGTACCAGTTAAGAACAGACTGTGCTAAGCTGCCTAAGATCTTGCTAATCATTATCATGGAGAGATTAAACAAAGTGGAAACAGAGTTTCATGGTATTAATTAGCTACAAACCACCCAAGCATATCACAGAAGGAGACAGTGGACAAACAGGAACCATTAGTTCCCATGAAGGGCAGTGGTGATGAACATGGAGGGTGACAGGCAGGAGTACTCGCCCTTCATCTGGTTAGCTCTGCCTAACATGTTGCTACAACTCCCTGAATTTGTGAAAATTGTCCTTAGTGGAAGTTCTGTTTACCTTAGGCATTATGTAGCTTGTACTGACAGAACAGAACAGTGGTGACCTGAAGACACCCTTCAAGCCACTCATTACTAATATATATACCTAGTGCCTTTGCTCCAGGTTCCTGTGGTTTATTTTGGACACTAAACATAACATATTATTTGTTCCCTCACAGCAAGGTCTCCTCCTGACAGCCAAGATTCTATTTTTCTGTCATAAGTAATTATAAATGTACACCTCTAAAAAGTTTCCCAATTTGAGGGGCATAATCTACTTCAGACAGTAAATCACAGAGACATCTCCATCCCTTGAGCAGCCAGAAAGAACAAGTCAGATGCATGAGCTCTCACACTGAATTCTCTAGATCTTCCTCCCTGGGGCAGCTGGGTTGCGGAGGGAGGGGGAAGCTGGCACTTTTGTTGGAGCGATTTATATTAGTTTCAATTAAAAAATATTAGATGTAGTGTTCTTCCATCTTCTAAATTCAACTCAGAAAATTATCCTGGAGAGTCCTATTGGAGGGCACTTGCCACTCCAATTATGTACCCGAGTGAACCAGAGTTCCTTCCTAGCCCTGCATCCGAACCACCGTTTCCACTGGAGATTCTTGTTGTCTGTTTCTTTGTTTTGAGACAGAGTCTTATGTAGCCCAGGCAAGTCTGAAACCAGTTGAGGATGATTTTGAACTTCTGATCCTCTGTCTGTGTTTCACAAGAGCTATGACGACAGGTGTGTGTCCCCACGTTAGGTTTTATGCATGCTAAGCAGGCACCTTTAAATGACTTTCTTCTCTAGTCCAGAGATTCTCCAGGGTTCCTCTTTCACTCATTCCTGACATCCAGGCTCCCCACTGCTGTGGAATGTCGCACGCTGTGGATGTGTGTTGCTCTGATTGGTTGATAAATAAAACACTGACTGGTCAGAAGCCAGGCAGGAAGTATAGGTGGGGTGAGAAGATGAGGAGAATTCTGGGAAGAGGAAGGCTGAGTCAGGAGTCGCCAGCCAGACACAGAGGAAGCAAGATGACAAGGCAGAACTGAGAAAAGGTACCAAGCCATGTGGCTAAACAAATAATAATTATGGATTGATTTAAGTGTAAGAGCTAGTCAGTAATAAGCCTGAGCTAATGGCTGAGCAGTTATAATTAATATAGGCTTCTGAGTGATTGTTTTGTAAGCGGGCTGTGGGACTGTGGGTGCCAGGCGGGACTTGAGAAACCTTCAACTACAAATGGCGCCAAGACGTGGGGCAAGAGTTTTCACCTAAAACCCGAGAAAGCTTTAAAAAAAAAAAGATTCTAAAATGGAGCTAAAAACAGCTTCCTAGTGTGTCTCTCAGGCAAGTTGTGAGCTACAGTATGGTGGGTTTGCAGCGGCGTATGGGCTTGAGTGCAGCATGGCAGATTCCTGCCACTGTACACAGTGGTATCTCCAAGCCATGCAGCACATTGTGTGGCAGATTTAATTAATATAAGTTTCTGAGTGATTATTTTATAAGCAGCTGCAGGGTCCGTCAGACTGAGCAGGACCGGAAAAAACTTCAGTTACATGCTAGTACAGACAGAAAAAAAAAAAAAAAAAGGTTTCTGGGCTACATGCTGCTTTGATGGAGGCATGGACCCCCTGCTTCCAAGAGTTGGAAGTAAACTCCCAGAGCTGGCAGTAAACGTACCACTGCCATGTTGAAAAGCTGAGGTAGGTGGAGTCTACAGCCAAGGCTGCTGCTTCTGTTCTAACCACTCTGCAGCTTAAAGCAATATATTCACAATAAAACAGATTTAGATGGGATTAAACCCCAAACAGTTTACAATGTGTGTAAAAATGTACATAGGCTTGGAAGAGAGAAGAAAATGAATGTAGACAGTTATATAAAGAAATAGTTTTAAAAAATAAAGTCTTTAAAGAGAAAATAAAAGTAATATAAAAAAATAAGCCATGTAAAGATGGAAATAACACAGAGAGTCTGGATTATATTGTCTTTGGGATTTTTAACTTCAGAGAGACATTTGATTGTAAAGGCTACCTAGTTAAATCATTATGTATATTTTAAAGATATCTTGACTTCAAAATTTGGATCTAAGGATATGCTACTTTGGAAAGGAGGCTTTGCTTTTGTTCCTACAGGAAGCAAGAGGGTATAGATTTGTTCCAGGTTAAGATGGATCTGATTTGGTCAAGCCAGACCTCCTGAACCTTAACAGATGGTACCTATCAACAAAGGTTATAGCAAGTATTTCTAGGACTTGATAATTATCTCAAATTTTCTCAGGATCCCCATAAGAATACAGCGTCATCAATCAGCAGGAAGTAGCCTAGTACACTATGCCCACATTCCCTAAAAATGGATTATGGATATTTGTCTTTGTTAGAGATTGGCTACAAATTGTTATTCATCATAATCAATATCTTTCTAAAACAAAAAAGGGGGATATGATATAGATATGATAGGATGAAAGGGTAGATTATTGAATCTACTTTTAAAGAGCAACTTGTTTTAAATTGCTATAGATTTAGCTTATTGATACAAATTTAAAGTTAATTTTGTTATACTGTATATATATTTCTACTCTTGTTTAAGGTATTATGTTTGTGCAGCTCATTTGAAATTGTAATGGATAATTAAGAAATACAGATAATAATTAGTCTTCTATGATAGTCAAACTTATAGTCATGTTAGTTAAGTTTTCTAGGTATACATAGATATAATTCAATTAGGGAGGTAATCTTCAAACACTTCAAAGACCTACAGAATATGGCATTTAAAATGTTCTAAAAACTTAGACTTTCCTGGACAATGAGGCACGTCTGCTCCTGACAGCACCAAATTTACTTTAAAGAGGAAGATGGGCATTGAAGACACTCCATATGGAGTTTATCTTCCTCTTGGCAAAAATAGCCATTTGGGCAAGAAACTGTTCTTGCCTGGACTGCTTGATAAAATGTTGTATCAACTGGACATTCAGGACCCATAGAAAGGTGACCACTGAACTTTGCAAGGCCAGATAGTCCTTCAGGTTCCTGCTTCGCAGGAGAAACTAGGCATTCTACAGGACACAGGAAGAAGTGACTGAGAGACTCTAGGACTGTGGGCTGAAGAAGGATGCCCCAATGTTGCACAGGAACTTTGGATTATTGTCCAAGCAGCCAGCTGTCTCTGTCATTCTAGATTTTTGGAAGTTGCTTACAATGCTCTTCCTGTTTACTTAGGTAATATTACATCCTTCTGAGGTCTTTGATGTAGTTGAAGACTAGATAGTTATAATTTTCCTTAGTTATGACAAAAGATAAATTAGATATGAAACTTTAGACTCACAAAAATAGGATAGATAAAATATTTTCTTTAATTTTATCAAATACAAATAGACTAGATATTGTAACTGTAATTTTTGCTTGATAACCGTTCTATTATATGTAATTTTACTATGTTAAAGTTAAAACCTTCCTTTTTGATTAGACAGAAAAGGAGAAGTGCTGTGGAATGTCATTCTGTATGTTGTGGATATGTGTTGCTCTGATTGGTTGATAAATAAAACACTGATTGGTCAGAAGCCAGGCAGGAAGTATAGGTGGGGTGAGCAGATGAGGAGAATTCTGGGAAGAGGAAGGCTGAGTCAGGAGTTGCCAGCCAGACACAGAGGAAGCAAGATGACAAGGCAGAACTGGAAAAAGGTACCAAGTCATGTGGGTAAACATAAATAATAATTATGGGTTGATTTAAGTGTAAGAGCTAGTCAGTAATAAGTCTGAGCTAATAGCTGAGCAGTTATAATTAATATAAGCTTCTGAGTGATTATTTTATAAGCAGGCTGTGGGACTGTGGGGGCCAGGTGGGACCCAAGAAACCTTCCAACTACACCCTGCTCCTAACTAAAACCCAGTGGTTCATCTTCATGACTTCTGCATCACAGAGAACACTTGAGGGGACTTTCATTCCAGTTTCCTACCAATGACTGCACTGTTTGTAGGCATGTCATGGTCTCACCTTAGTGAAAGGCTGCATCTTTGCATGAAGGAAAATGTGTACAGGCAAAGGCCTTTTACAAGGGGGTCATGCAGTGATTTAGAAAAATGCATTGAATGCAGTGGTTTTGTTGTGTGAATGTCATAGAGTGTGATAATTTATGCAAGCTAAAATGGCACAGCCCCTTCACTTGATGTGTCTCTTGATCAAGAAACAGTAAACAGATGATGTTATTGAAGCTGCTGGTGTAGGATGTCATGCTATTTTACAGTAAACATACATTAGTAGGTAGGAGAACCTTCTAAAATAAAAATTAAAAGTATAGTACAGTAAGCATATGAGCCAGTAACAGTTTATTATCATGCATCTTGTACTGTGTGTGGTTATATGTGCTATACTTTTAACCACTTGTGGTCCAGCAGGTTGTTTATATTAGCAACCCACAAATACACAGGCAATGTATCCTGCTATGATGTGTGATGTGACACAATGACAGGGCATCAGAAAGCAGGGATTTCTTAGCCTCAATATAACCTTTTCAGGTGTCATATGTGTGAGGTCCACTCCTGACCCAAACACCAGCACACAGTGCATGGCTGCACCCCAGTGTTCTGAGAGGCCTGGACTGTATTACTATGATACCAGCTGCTGAGATTTGGCATTCACTGTTTTAAGTGCTTCAAATATTGTACATCACTGAATCTTTACAAGAAAGTAGCATGTGTTGCCAGGGAGGCACTGTAGAGCTGGCAACTAAAATTCACAGTGGTCACACAGTGGGAAGCGGTATAGCTGGAAATCAGATGGGGGCTGATGCCTTCAACTCTGTGCTGCCCTAGGGCAAACATTCATAAAAATGGGACTGTTCCTCTCTGCAACCTACTTAGTAAAGGACTTCATAAAAGATGAGGCACAGATTACCTCAGTTTAGATGCACAAGTCTATATGGTTAGTATGAAAGCAGCGGCATTTCAGATTTTCTCTATTTGTGGCAAATTACCTTTATATCTTTAATGCATAGCATTTCTTGTATTCTTACCTTGCACACTCACACTTGTAGAGGACTCCAGAGGCTGCTCCACTGGCTGCTGACTGGGAGGGACAATTGGTGGGCTCAGCATGTTCAACCAGTCTCTAAGGAGAAAAGAAAGCAGGTAAGCAACACAGTTGCAGCCCCACACACAGACTTGAAGTTTCCCCTTGGTTTTCACTTCTCTGGGGTTTACAAAGGAACACTTTATCTTCCTTCATGTTCCAGTAAGAAAAATGAGAATTAATACTCAGTTTTGTGACAAGGTTAATAAGGAGTTGATCACTTAACCAATAAATTGCTTGATCAAATCCACAAGCTAAATGATAACCATTTCTCTTCCTATCAGTTTAGTATCCAATACCGATGTTTAGCCCTGAAAACATACAAACAAGTAACACTATACAGGCTAAACTGGTTATATTTAGGAATATATATGCATATACATATATGCATGTAACAACAATTAATGAAAAAAGAGGTCATGAATTTGAAAGAGAGCAAGGAGAGGTATATGGGAGGACTTGGAAGTAGGTAGGGAAGGGAGAAATGAGTAATAATCTCAAAAATAAAAGGTAAAAATGATTAAAAGTTTATTATTAGTGCCATGAAAATATAGTATGTTTACTTTAAAAAAATATTTGTGTGTGTATGATGTGCATGTGGAGGTCAAAGGACAACTTGTGGGAGTCAGTTCTCTTCTTCCCTGCTGTGGGTCCCTGGGATCAAAGTCAAGTCCCCAGGCTTGGTGGCAAGCACCTTCATCCACTGAACCACTTCTCTAGCCTGTAGTACACTTTCCCCCAAAGGAAACCATTTCAGCAAATCAGAAGAAATACAGTAGAGAAGATGCGCTTTCTGATCTTGGGTGAGAAAGCTTGACACAATCACGTGTGGTTTGTCTTGGATGACAGTGTTCTCCACATGAATTGAGCAGAAGTCAGCCTCGGATCTGATGTGAAGCCACTTTTATTTCCCTGCCTCCTCCTCTCTCACAGTCTGCTGTCCCCCTGCTAGATTCTTGGGCAGGTACAACTCAAGTGGTGCTGTCTAGAAGGCACGAGTCCAATGCTTCTCATCCCCAAACCCGCTCCTGAGTTGCTTAGGTGGAAGTGGGAAGGCAGGGGAACAGAAAGGATTTTCCAATAACAATCCTATTTGTTGCATGGATATTAGCACCCTATATTGTTTATTCCTTTCTTTTAAACAGGACCATATTCTTATGACAATATTTTCTTTCTAAATTTCTGTATTTCATACTTTCTTTAATCTACAATGGGAAGCAGTTTTAACCAGAAGCTAAAAGCACCAGCTCTCTGGCCAGGGCCAGATCCTTGTTCCCTACAGTAAGAGATTAGCCAAATCACTTAATGTTGCTAAGCTTGACCTTTAGGGAGGAGAAAGATGGTAACATTTCAGAGTTTTGCCTACAGATTAGACCAAGTCCATTTGGCATGGATTTAGGTACACTTAGCAAATTTCAGTTTCGATACACTGATCAAGGAAGCCCATGTACTGGCCTGACCTACTATGATAAACTAAGGTGGGGACGGGGTCTTGTTGGAGTTAAACCAGTACAAGATGGCAGAATGCTCACTGGATTACATAGCTGAGGTTTTCCTTCTACAAACCACTTATTCTCCAAGTATACAAGTATTTTAATGTAAAAACTTACTCAATTTCTACATGAAATATTTTAAGAGACTTTCAATCACTGCTTACAGCTATCTCTAGATTATGTATGATTGCTGAAATGAGTGAGGTGAGTATGCTGTGTAATGGAATTTCATAGCAACACATTAAGGACATCAGAAAGGATTTGTCACAGGCATTCAAGCTAATGGGACATTTTCTGATAAGTACCTTTTATTTAGTCCATTTAATTATAGCAGACCAAAAAATCCTGTACTATATAAAATCATGAGGTCATATACAAAGCCCATTACCAGCCCAGGGACCTCATTTCTTAATAAAAGTGTTGAAAAACGGGTGAGCAGGAGAAAAGAATGGTATCATCTGAAGACCCTCTTCCCATTTCTGACCAGGGACTCTGTGTGTGTGTGTGTGTGTGTGTGTGTGTGTGTGTGTGTGTGTGTGTGTGTGTGTCCTACTCTTGGTCTAGGAAATTCTTCCAATGTGAATGGTGATCCTTGTTTGAATGTTGGGCCAATGACTTGATGTTATTTCTTTTCTGCTGTAGGTGTGGACAATATATAGGTCTTTATCTTGTGGTTAAAAAAAAAAACCCTCAAATTTAAAAGTAAATAACAAAAGAACTACAAAGAATTTGTGCATATTATTTACTAAGGATTTTTTAAAGACCATTTCATTATATTTATTATTAATCAATTGGTCAATCAGAAGTTGTAAACCATGGCCCATGGGCCAAGTATATTTCATAGTCTGTTTTTGTATAGTATGCAAACTAATTTAGCGATTTATATTTTCAATGGTTAAATGGATATAATGTTCCACAGGATATGAAAACTATACGAAATTTAAAGTTCAGCATCCACAAATGATGCTTCATCAGATTACTGTCACATGCGTGCATTCAAGTAATGTCTACATCTAGTGTTGTCTTTTTTTTTTTTTTTTTTTGTTTTTCAAGACAGGGTTTCTCTGTGTAGCTTGGCGCCTTTCCTGGATCTCGCTCTGCAGACCAGGCTGGTCTCGAACTCACAAAGATCTGCCTGCCTCTGCCTCCCGAGTGCTGGGATTAAAGGCATGCGCCACTACCGCCCAGCTACTGTTGTCTTTTAAGTGTTCATTATCTGGTTCTTTATTGGAAACATTTGATGGCTACTCATCTCTAACCAGAAACGTGTACTAATTCCTACAACAATAATCTAGCACCACATGCTCTCTCTCCTCTCTAGCTTTTCTTATTAGTAAACCTGTTCCCATTTTCCCAAGGGTATTGGGTTATGGACACACAAAGAGTAGTCTCCAACATGCTAAGTGAAACAAACATTAACCAAGTGAAAACAGACAAAACAACACAACACAAACAAACATTCCAGCGTACTGCACACTTGTTCTTTAGAGTTCTATACTTTCCATGGTTTTTTTCCTTGTAGTCAAAATACCATGCTCAAAATTTTCTTGAGTTAGCCCTCTCTGGTCCTCTTCAGTCTGGATGTATTATTCATGTGAAAGCAAATTGTCTGCTTCTGTTCATAGTACATTGTCAGGATTTTGCCTCTCCATTTTCCTTGAGTTATATATTTTTTAATGTTGTTGAATAATAAATCACTAACAATTGAAGAATCAAAATACTCAGAATAATGTGTTCAGATAAAGTTAGATCCTTCTATCCATCCCTGTGGACTCTCCTCTGGTCTATTCCCACCCACTCTGCTAAGAGTATTGTTTTGCTTGCAAAAGAAAGCCCAAACATACCTTTTCCCTCTTTTAAAAAAATTTTGAGATCATAATCCTTCCCTTTCCTTCTTCCAAATCCTCCCATATATGCATCCCACTCTCTTTCAAATTCATGGCCTTTTATTTTTTTTACTGTTATTGCATGCAAGTATGTGTATCTATAAACATATATTTCTTGAAAAAAACCACCTCCCTCTTCTCATGCAAAAGCAGCATGCTATTGTTAGTTCTTTTGTAGTTTCTTTATTTCTTTTAAACTTTTAGCTTGTAATATATCCTGGAAACTTTCCCTGTTTACAGAGCTCTTCCTCAGGCTTTGCAACTCCATCCAACATTTGGGTATGTTTTCAATGCTTGTACCTGCAATGAGCGCCACAGGGAAGACCTTTGGGATCTCATCTCTTCTACAGACTTGGAAGTGTGTCTCCAAGGTAAGTTCCCACAACAAAAGGCATATTTGGTGTTGTTAGACACTAACAAATTCCCTGTACAAGGGGCAATTGTTAGATATTGGCAATGCCCTCAACATCCATCTGCTTTCTCATCAGCAATGTGCAAGAGTGACAGTTTCCCCAGAGCAAAAACTACATGGACATCATGTTAAGTTTTTAAATTCTTCCCAGCCTGATCTATGAGAACTACTCTCATAAGGTAGTTTTGATTTGTCTTAATCCTTAGTATAAGTAGATTTGAATGCACTTTCATATTTACAGCCATTTGGTAAATATACATGTGTATACATATATATGCATATAGTTGTATGTATATATGTATGTATCAATCTACCCATACATATTCATATCTTATATCATAATTTCTCTATTTTTGTTTGGCTATTTGTCTTTGCTTTAGTTTTTTTCCCTCTCTTTATATGTTTTTTATTTTCATGTAGTCAAATGTATTAATCATTTTTTTAAGGTCATCTGTATTTAGAAAGCCTTTCCCTAAACCACATTTTATAGCAATGCACCCATATTTTCTTTTATCTGTGGTAGAGGTCTGCTGGTGGCCATGTCAGAAGTGCAGCATGTGACAACTGAAGTTCAGGTGTCAGTCCACCAAGAGGAAAATCCCTGAAGGATCAATCTTGTTTTAGGTAAGACCAGAAGATTACAGACTCTGAAATATCTTCTGCTTCTGCAGTACCTTTGGTACCTGATATGCTGTATATGGTGTGGGAAATCCCTCACTGCCTGTAGTATAGTGTGTTTATCTCATAAATATATTTAATCTATTGGGCATTTATATCTGTGGATTGTCAGGAAGGTGATTTCTCTTTAAGCAGTATAATTTTGATGAATAAAAATGATGTTTCATATCTAGGCCTGTTGTTTCACACAAGGCCTGTGAGTCACACTTAGGAGATGCTCAGATTTATGATATACCAGGAGCCAGGCTGGCTCAAATTCCTTTAATCTTAATGTTGAGAATTACAGTTACAGGTTTCTTGTGTACCATTAGGTGGTACCAGCTTCAAAAAAACTTTAGAGCAGGTGCCTTGCTAATGGGTTTTAAGATAAACTGTTCTCAGGAAATGCAGTCTAGTTCACAAGGACACATAGCTAGCTGCAGTCCAGCTCACAGGGACATATAGTCAGCTGTCTGATTTGCTGATCCAAGGTTAAAGATGCAAAGCAACTTCATCGTAGTGCCAGCCTCTCTCCTAGGACTGGCTGATTAACTCTCAGCACAAATTCCTAACCTCAGTACTTCATAGCCC